GGCACAAGGAGTTACACAGATACTTATTGAAAGAATCAATCAGTTAATTAATTAATTAATGCATTGCAAATGCATTTAGCAGAGAGAATTTGGTGTCAGGAGGTGCTCTGCCTGGGGTGAAGGAGAAGGCGGGAGAACAAGGGAGAAGGTGAAGGAAGTCTGGCAGAAGCAGAACTAAATGATTTTCAAAAACATCTAAAAACACCTAAAAAAAGTAAATTACCTGTTGCTATCAAGTGGAAGGCTGCATTTGATCATGTGAAAATACACCAGGCTTGAGAGGGCAGGAACAAATAGTCTCTAAAAGTTTGACTCAAGGGTTTAAGTCCACTGGCTTAATGTTGGAGAGGCCTGAGAGCTGTCCATCTGCTGCCTATAAAGCGATTTGATAGAGTGAAATCTGTAGTTGTTCAACAGTCCTTCTGTTAATGAGCTTTCTGGTATCTAACTTATCTCTCTGATTTAGATTTATTTCTTAAAGTAAATTTTGTTCTTTAATATAAAATAAATTCAATGTCTAAAACTTAGAAAATAGAGACAAAAGAAAAATATCCATGATCACACCCCATGGAGATCATTACTGTTCACCTGATTGTCTAGTAAGCATGGGTATATTTAGGACTGTGATCTCTGTCCCTTTGCTGGATCCTCAGCCGCTACAACAGTGCTCAATAAATAATTGTTAATGAATCAATTTAGACATGCATTAAATATTTTTCTTTTCATTCACTCTCCTCTAGAATAAGAGATTATTTTGGGCCTTCAAAAAGAAAAATACATATATTCTTAAAATTTTTATTAGATTTTCTTGACTGATGGTTTGATTGTTAAGTATCTCTTGGCATACTTTAATTTTTCACTATCCTTCCTAAATGGAAAACTGAACACAGACTTAAAAGGGACCGACCAAGCAGAATATCCAGGAGGGCAACTTCCCAGACCTTACCTTTTAGATCCACTTAGCAATCTGAGTATCTTCCTGAAATGAGCAGGACTGGGTAGTTGCCTCATACGCAGCTTTGCTCTAGAGTGACGCCTGGTTTCTTCCCATCGCCCTCAAAAGTGAGCCCAGTGCTCTTCTTGGTTCCCAGGAGTGAGGCATTGCTCTTTTCTCTTTTATCACATCATATTTCCTTCTGCCTTTGTTGTCGTTGTTGTTCTCAGTGCACGTCTGTTTTTTCCTCACTGAGGAAGTTTATACTTATCAAAACAAATTTCATGGTACTTTTCATTATACCATTCCTAATTTAATAACCAACAATTAAACAGAAATACCTTGGTTTTATATCTTCCAAAATTGAAAATGCTTCAGCTCTAATTCAATTTAGAGCTTGCCTATAAATCACCTGAGACAAACGGTTATGCTGCTTTCAAATGAGTCACGTGGCCTGCACTCTGTGTACACCTTGATACATTTTGGGTAGAAAGAAAAGAAACAAATCTCATTACTGAAAAATTAAAACTAAATAAATTATATAAGAATAATTATATATTATATATTTTACTAGTTTTGAAATCAAGTGACTTTGTGCTGTGTCAATTTAGCTGAGCCAGAAATAAGTCTTCCAGAATTCCCTTCTCTGTGTGGTTCTGAGTTTTGCTTGGCTACAAGAGAAATTTGCATAAGACCTGAAATGCAGAAATGAGGAGCAGCCATAATTATACTCTGGAGGTCAAGTAAAAGACCAAGCAATATTACAGTTCATGCACGTTGGTGCTGATCTGCTGGCTCATCTTGTCAGCAAAGGGCAGCAGCCAGGTCCGTGGTTCCTCCAGCCTCAGCCAGATTGCTCCTTCAGCATCTGCAAATCCCTAGCTAGGAATATGTGAAAGGTGCCAGCTTACTCTGCAAGCCACCCATCTGACCAAGGTTGGAAACCAAGAAAGGCACCCCCAGGTTCGTTTATTCTCATGGGTTCTGGTTTTCCATCACAAGTTCCGATTTTCCTCAAAAATTCCAGTTTGTCCTCTTGTGTCCACCTTGCTCTTGCTTCCCCCACATCATGTCTGTCTTTCCATCCCAACTTGGTAATTTTAGACAACAAAGATTTCTTATCTCACAGTTTCTGTAAGTCAAGAACTTGGAAATGGTTTATCTGGCTCCTCTGGCTCACGGCCTTTCACTCAAGGTGTTAGCCAGGGAGGATTCCAGTCTCATCTGGAGGCCCAACTGGCAGAGGATCTGCTTCCAGGTTCCCTCTTATGGTTGTTGGCAGGAGTCAGCTCATCATGTGTTGTGGGACTAAGGGCCTCATTTTCTCACTGGCTGTTGGCCAGAGGCTCTCTCAGATATTTGCCACATGGGCCTCTCCATAGAGAAGGTACATCATGACAACTGGCTTCCATTAGAGCGAGCAAAGAGAGAACAAGAGAGCGTAAGTAGGACAAAAACAGAATCACTTTGTAACCTAGTTTCAGAAGTGATATCGGAACATTTTTACTATATTCTATTTGTTAGAAGGAAGTTATTAGGATCAGTCAACACTCAAGGAGAGGGAATTATAAAAGGGCACAAATACCATAAGCAGGGATCATGAAAGCCTACCACACCCTTTCAAGCAGACAAAGGCCCTCTGAGTATCTTAAGCATGGGCTACACATACCCTCTCTTTTAAAAAATAGAATGTCTAAGAATCATTTTTCCCATAGCATCTTCACAGAAAAGATTTGTGAGTGTAGCTTTTGTCTAATGAAGTGAATCATAAATTCATACATGGGAAACTCACAAAATTTTTAAAGGAAGTGAATCAGTGTGAAATAAAGGGACGGAGATAGAAAAGAGGCATCTCTACCACCAATCATTTACAGGCAGAGAACAGGCTTAAGAAGTCTATTCAGTTGTAAATACCAACCATATCTTATAAAAGTGTAACAATGACTCAGAGGGCAGAACCAAGATGGAGTTAAGAGCTATGGATAATAACTCATTGGGAGTAGGACTGAGCTCTAAGCAGAGAAATGGTAACATGTATCAGACCAAATTTTGGAATTCTACAGACCAGTGACTACTTTGTGCCTCCTAACCTCCCCCTCACTGAATGCACGGATCTGTTGTGGTTACCCTTTGATCATTTCCCCATTCAATGTTGTGAGTGTGAGGATAAATGCCTTGTTTACTTAATTCACAGGCTTTTATATCTAAAAGAATGTATCCAGGGACTTACACCTGAGAAGCCTCATCCACACCTGACTGGATTTATATGACAAGTTCCTGGACCCTGATATATAATGAGATGATACTTTTAGGAAGGCTCTATGGAAGGAAGGAATTTATTTTGTATACGGCAGTAATAAAAGTGATTAGTGGCTGTAAAGTGGGCTGTGGAAGTTTTAGGGCTTGCTTGCTAATTCTCTGAAATTCTCTTAATAGTCTTTGTTCCCTCTCCTCAAATCCAGGTGGGCTTGTGTTTTCACCAACAGAATATGAGAGAAGTGATACTAGGTGACTCCAAGGCTGGGTCATAAAGCATAGTACAGCTTCTCCCTTGTTGGTTCAAATACTTGCTCTTGGAGCCCTAGGCTACCATGAAAGGACTCTGAGTGGTTTAAGGACATCATGCTGTGAGGAATCTTAGCCATGGGGAGAACATGTCTAGGCACCCTGGTCAGCTGTTCCAGTCTTTGAATACTCCCAGCCTGGGTTCCAGATAAGTGGGTAAATAAGCCTTCAGTTGATTCTAGCTCCCAGCCGTTGAGTCACCCAGTCTTTGATGCCCCAGATATTCTGGCACAGAGATAAGCCATCCTTGCCATGTGCTGTCCAAATTCCTGACCCAGAAAATCTAGAATAATAATAAAATGGTTGTTCTAAGTGATTAAGTTGTGGGGTAGTTTTTTACATAGTCATAGTAACTGAAACTGAGCCATGTAAAAACATCACAGCTAAATTGTGAATAAAATGCATATTTGAATAAAATGCATAAATCTATATTTAGCTTTGAGAGTAGTCAACAGTCAGTATGTTTATAATTATTTTAGAACCTTATGCAAATGAGATGATAGATGTAAGCATTCCTAGTATAATGCCTGGCAATAAAGAGCATGGATTTATTATTATGCCAAAATAAATATATGTGTATATTTATTTCCAAATGGTTATTTTCATTGACCTACAAGTAATTAGATGCTGGCCGATGTCTCAAAGCTTTCATGTACATCTCCAAGTGACAGATGAATAAAGATGTGGTTTTTCAAAATCACACAAATCTGAACAAAGCTGGAATTCAAACTCAGATCTTTCTGATACCAGATCTCTTGCTTTTTACCACTATATTCTCTTCCCTCCAGACATTTTAAATTTAGAGAAAAGATTACAAAACTACAATTATGAAACCTTGTCCCACAGAGGAAAGGCTCAAGAATGAAAAATTAACTTTGCACCTAGAAAAGAAAGATTGAGAGATTTAACAATTAGGAATATAATGAATTTGTATGCAGAAGGATAATTTTCTGTATTTCCTAAGAAAAAAAGAAACATATGTCCTTAATTCATAAAAATGAAATGAAATTTAAATATTTAGCGAGCTCTTAATCAAGCACTTCATTTTGGTAAGGGTTAACTCTTCATGTTATGCACTAGCATTTGATGAGACATCTTCATGATTTGAAAGAAAAAGAAAAGGTAGATAATGGATTTAATTGATACAATTTTACATACAAATACAAAGGATACATAACACTCAGGACTAAACAGTTAAGGCCCTTTTAATTCTAATAGAGACAGTAACAGTACCTCTCATCTAGGTAGCACTGATTATTTCATAGATATCAGCAAAGAGCTCTCTAGATATCTTATTTAATCCCCCAAGCAAGCCTCTAAAGTAGGTATTACTTTACTGTGCCTTTTTTTTACAGGTGAGAAACCTAGTACTCAAAGAAGGGAAGTCGTTTTCCCAAGGTCACCCAGCTAGGAAAGAGTGGAATTGGGATTATATGATGGTTCAATCTCTCATTTCCTCATCTTTCTAAAACACTCTAAAGAAACACAATAAAATCACATGTGAGCATTATATATTGATATGGCCAATCACAGGCAAAATACCTGGAGTAGTCTAAGTCAGTTTTTATTTGTATATATGTAGGTCTTTCTTGAATTACAAATCTTGATTTCCTTTGAGAATATCACTGCTATTATAACTGTACAATTTTAATATCCACCCAATACATAAATTACCTACATTTAGGTGGGTAATTTAAAAATATATACATGGAAAAACATACAGTGCTTACAAACCAAACGCAAATAAAAATCTTTTAAAAATCTTAGAAATTCATTAAGCAGGTTATGTCGATCCTATTAAAAATGGTTTTTCTATGTACAATACATAATCTTTAAAAATACTATTCCAGGAAACAAAAATTCTTTGGTTCAGCAAAAGGATTCTAAATGTGGAAATTCAATTTGTTAAGAATGCACCTTCCTGGGCTGGGCCTCTCTTATCTGGTTTAATTCTTCAGGAAGCATGTAGCTGACTTTCTTTGAATGAAGAAAATATGGGTGGGGTGTGGGTAGAGGCTCCTATTCCCATAGGACATCTGCATATAAAAATATAACCAGAAGCTTGAATAATGCAGTAACTGAGCCTGTATTTTTACTTTGCCAGATCTAAAAGATACAGAGAAAGTCTGCTTCCTATCCATTTTGGAAGGAAGGTGAGGAAGTGATAGAAACATTTACTAGTAAAGTTCTTAGGTACTGGTGTCCAACGCTGTTGAAACTATTCTCTTCATTATTTGGAAGACTGCATGGAGGAGACGGGAGGAGGGCAGATGCTAGATGATGCTTCCACTTCTCCAGCAGCTTGCCTGCCTGAACAATCTAAAATTATAAGCACATCATGACTCAGATGTCTTTACAAAGAGTTAACTCAGCAGTGATTGTAGTGCATCAACATTTACCAATGGCATCTTCATTAAAAATTAACTCTAGTTAGTCTATACTCTTGGTTTATTAATAGGAACAATCACAGAACTGCCCAAAATATCTCAGTCTCAGAGTCAGCAACCTTACCTCTCAGACTTTATTCGCCTCCACGTTTAATGGGAAGGAAAAGCCTTCACAATTTTGTTCCTGCATGATTTCTATTTTGATTACAAAAGTACTTAGTCTATAAGATAAAACCTTTGTAAAAGTCCATCACTTAATAGCACATTAAAACCACCTTTAACAAGGCTTTGGAAAGTCTCTGAGGTATCACAGCTGGTCACAGGAGAATGGAAAATATTTTTTGCTCTGTTTATTTTTCTAAGCTCCCTAATAGAATATAATAACCTTGTTGGATTAATTAACTCATTTATTTTAGGGAGCCATACTAAACACTCAAACTTGCCTTTCCCCAGACTATTATCAGAAACACCTTAATACATTTCTAAGTTTAATGCAAGTAAAAGTCAAGTGCCTCTTTTGACTACCAAGACTTCTGCAAACCACCACTTTAATGCTTCAATGTTTACATGGAGTTGTTGAGAGCAGGGGAAATCTTCCAAAATCCACCCTTTTTCTTGATACTATTTGCATGTCTTAGTTGCTCAAGGGCAAGTTGTTTTTTTAAACCTTATTAGGGCTCAAAGGAGATGAATATGATCAGGATGGAGCAATGGATTGCAGAGAGCACTATGTCCCTTCAACAAAAATGGTTCTGACTGTGGAGAGAATAGTCTTCAACATTTGAGAAAAGCAAAGAATAGAATACATGAATAATTCACAGCATCTAAATAAGACATTAACATTCAGAACCACCTCCATACCCACTATCATCCACCCCAGCTCATGGGCAGGGATTTCTTTTCCCTAAGGGTCTTCCAAAAGAAATCACAATATGCCATAGAGAGAAATAATCAGTATTGGATTATTGGTGCTCGTAGTCTTCTGTAGTAGACAGGCAGTAATCATTTTTTTTTTCTGTCAGAAATCTTTATCCCAGCCTGAAAGCTCATCTGGAGGCACTCCCTTTTCAGGAGGATACTTGTCAAAGTAGCTGTGATCGGTGGGTCCATTGAGCTAATAGAGAAAGAAAGGGTTAAAGCAAAGGTGAGCAAGATGTTGACTACGGCAATGCCTCCCATATCTGAACACAGATTTTAAGCTGCAACTACTGGTAAGTTACATAGAAGGAAAAGAGATCAACACTCATTTTTGAGTCACACTCTCAGGCTCATAAGATCTCTCCTTTGGACCAAATGGGTCAGCTCACTGGATGACATTCGATGGAAGCTACCTAGCCTGATGAGTTATTTCAAAAAAAAAAAAAGAGACAGAAAAGATGTTTAATTTTTTTTCAAATTAAAAATATTTTAAAATCAGTTTAAAAAAATCAAAATTTGCCAGACTCCTCCTAGTTTATGAAAGTGTCTCACCACCCTTGAACCTGTATATGGCTAATTGACCATAGCACATCTCCAGGGTGGCAAACAGGAAAAATTCAAAATCTCACTGGCCGCCTGAAAGAGTGAAATGACTCTTTTGCAAATTAGGTGGTTTCCACTTCTTTACTTCCCAGCAAATGTAAGAAGTATCTAACTGAATTATCAGATGATAGATCATTAAAAATACTATTTACGATTGAGCATAATACGTTTTGGAGAGGGGAGGGAGGTCACCAAGGCGTTCAAAGTGACATTGCTTTGTAAAACCCTCAGCTCCCATATGTTTATTTATGTGAACACATCTCTTAGCACTTATATCCACACAATTTTATTTTTATTTATTTATTTTTTAAAATATATCTTTATTGATTTCAGAGAGAGGAAAGGAGAGGGAGAGAGAGAGGGAGAAACATCAATGATGAGAGAGTCATTGATCGGCTGCAGCCCGCAACCCGGGCATGTGCCCTGACCGGGAATCGAACCCCGATCGCCTGGATCCTAGGTCGACGCTCAACCGCTGAGCCACGCCTGGCCAGGCTCCACACAATTTTAAAAAGGAATAAAACTGATGTGGAGTAGAGTCCATTTTTTAAATAAATAAAATTTACCCACAGGCACCTTAAATACTTTCTTTACAAAACCTGTTTAATAATTACCTTAAAATTGTATAATATATTTATGTTGTTTGAGACTGTATGCTATAAAAATGTAATTATAACTGAATCCAGAAGAAATATTTGTGTTGTACAGAAATGGTGGTGGTCACCAGAATTTTAAAATTTATAAAACTGTAATTGAAAGGCACTGAAAGAATGATTGATTAAAGATTGCCAAGTATAAAAATATTTTACATCAGAATGCAATTTTGAGAGGAAAATGGAATGGAAATATGGAAATATGAATTCAGAAAGAAAAAGGAATGTTGTAATATTTGTCTATTTTTTAATGACTCGTATCAAATCTCAATAATATATTGGATATATTTAAAGGGCTAAAGAAACAGTAGTGTTGCACTTTAAAATGTCAATAGTTTAACATACTAGAAATTATATGCTCCATAATAATTTAAATGTACAATAAAAAAATTCAGACGTCAATCTAAAAATATACAAGGGGAGACGTAGATCTTCAAAATTCCTCTAGAGAGAACACAGCATAAAGTTTGCAGGGTGCTGAGCCAGGTCATTCCTGAGTCATTCTTCCCTCAAGTTAGCGAATGTTCTGCTTTCTCTAGAGCTGCGCTGTCCACCCAGCTGCCTGTGGGGACTGAGCACGTGAAATGAAATGTAGCTAAGCCGGAACTGACATGTGCTGAAAGTGTAAAATCCACTTGGGAATGTGAAGACTTAGCATGGAAAAAAACGCTGTAACATCTCATTAATNACACAATTTTAAAAAGGAATAAAACTGATGTGGAGTAGAGTCCATTTTTTAAATAAATAAAATTTACCCACAGGCACCTTAAATACTTTCTTTACAAAACCTGTTTAATAATTACCTTAAAATTGTATAATATATTTATGTTGTTTGAGACTGTATGCTATAAAAATGTAATTATAACTGAATCCAGAAGAAATATTTGTGTTGTACAGAAATGGTGGTGGTCACCAGAATTTTAAAATTTATAAAACTGTAATTGAAAGGCACTGAAAGAATGATTGATTAAAGATTGCCAAGTATAAAAATATTTTACATCAGAATGCAATTTTGAGAGGAAAATGGAATGGAAATATGGAAATATGAATTCAGAAAGAAAAAGGAATGTTGTAATATTTGTCTATTTTTTAATGACTCGTATCAAATCTCAATAATATATTGGATATATTTAAAGGGCTAAAGAAACAGTAGTGTTGCACTTTAAAATGTCAATAGTTTAACATACTAGAAATTATATGCTCCATAATAATTTAAATGTACAATAAAAAAATTCAGACGTCAATCTAAAAATATACAAGGGGAGACGTAGATCTTCAAAATTCCTCTAGAGAGAACACAGCATAAAGTTTGCAGGGTGCTGAGCCAGGTCATTCCTGAGTCATTCTTCCCTCAAGTTAGCGAATGTTCTGCTTTCTCTAGAGCTGCGCTGTCCACCCAGCTGCCTGTGGGGACTGAGCACGTGAAATGAAATGTAGCTAAGCCGGAACTGACATGTGCTGAAAGTGTAAAATCCACTTGGGAATGTGAAGACTTAGCATGGAAAAAAACCCTGTAACATCTCATTAATACTTCATGTTGATTACATATTGAAGTGATAATATTTTGGATATTAAGTTAAAATTAATTTCACCTATTTCTTTTTACCTTGTTTAACATGGCTACTAGGAAATTTCAAATTGCCTATATGGTTCATACTATATGTCTAGAGCTCTCTGTCAGCCTAACACACTGATAACTTGAGGACTTCGATGTATATGTAATTGATTCCTGAGAGCAGAGCTAATGCTCATCAAACAGGCAATACTATTTAGTCCCTACAATCACAACTGTTATGACATTTTAGCTTAATTTTTAAAAAATAATTTAAAAATCTAAAATCTGCTACATACACACACATCTAAAATCTGTTTATGAAACAAATACCTACAAATAATTATGAGAGTAATATAGTAATATCATACCTCTCTTCGTAAAGGTGATGGAAGGTTCCGTGCTTTCAGTCCCTCCCAATTAAAACCACTTAACCACCTGAGGAACGAGCAAAGTACAGAGAAATATTACATGCCTGAAAACAATTAGCATGTCAGCTATCTGTCAGTCTATTTTGTCGTCTGCTTTCTGCCAGCAATGTGGTCGGAGGGAAATACTTTCCTTTTTTCTTGAGAAAACTGAAGCAAAGAAGAGAACACTCACAGTCTTCCACCAGGACACCTTCCTACCCACTCACAACTGCATGTTCCCTTCTCTCCAGTACCACGAATTAACTGCCTTTGCTTCTAGCGAAGGTTAACTCCTCTTCTGTGCACTTGACCCTGTAGACTCTTCTCTATTCAAAGTCATGCTCCTGCAATTCCCTTCCCTCCTGAATCTTCAACATCTCCTCTACTGGATCATTCTCATCAGTATGGAAACGTTTTATTTTTTCCAACCACAAAACACTCTCTTTTGACCTGCGCTCCCTTCCAACTCTCCCTCCATTTCTTTCCTTCCCTCGGAGGAAAACTCCTTGAAATAGTGACCTGATCACTCTATTTACCCATTTTCTCCCGACCGCACTGCAATCAGGTTTCACCCCCACTCCACTGAGCGGTGTCAGCGCTCAGTCCCTCTTACTTAGCGTGTTAGAAGCATGTGCCACAGTCCGCCACTCACACGCCCTGAAACCCTTCTTCCCTCGGCTTCTGGGACAGCTGCTGCCCTGGCTTTCTTCCTGCCCTCTCGGGTGCTATCCCCCATTTCCCACTGCTGTTTCCATGGGACGTTGGTGTGATCCAGGCTCAGTCCTTGCATTTCTTTTTTCAATACTCTCACTTTCTAGGTAATCCCATTCAGTCTTGTGGCTTTTAATAGCATTTATATACCGGTTACTCCCAGATTTCTGTTTCTAGTCAAGACTTCTCCATTGCTTTACAGGCTATTAGCTACAACTGCCAATCATCACCTCCCAACTGGACGTCTACCAGGCATCCAGCGTGTATCAGGTCCACCTGGAGCTCCAGATTTCCCCTAACAAACTTGCCTTAACTCTTCCAACTGCTTAAACCGAAGACCTTGAGTGTTGATATTGTTTACCTTTTTTTTCTGCCTGTCACCTTTCGCCAAAATCAAAACAATAGAAACACTTAAGTTAATTTTAGATACTAATAATACTAGGAAGATTAACGAGAATAAAGTGGTAGATAATGAAGGATGGGGATGGGTTGGAAGGGGCTGTTTTTAGCAAGGGTAGTATTTGAAGAAAGGACATTTGAATTAAGGCCACAATGAAAAGAAGGAAGCCATAGGCAGATCTGTGGCAAGAGCCTTCCAAGTGGATGGAATGGAATGAGCTTTAGTGTGGTGAATGCAGGGGAAACTAGAAAAAAAAATGATGTCTGAAAAATGGTCAGAGGCGAGATTACATAAGGCCTTGTAGGACACAGTAAGGAATCAGAGTTTTATGCATAATGGAAAGCCATTAGAAAGTTCTAAGTAAATGATGCAATCTAGATGAGTAGTCACCTGGGACAGCATTAGCGTGGGACTGGGAGGTGGGAGGGTGAGACTGAAGGCAGGGAGGCTTTAGGAGGCTGTCACATTCCCCTGTCTATTGGCCATACCAGAAATTACGCTCTTCTACCCTTCTCAATCTCTTTCACCCCTGGAGTTGGTTTTGGTTCAGTCCTTGACTGGATTTCTCATTCCACGTCTAAGCTTAGGAAGAGAGAAAGTACAGAAAACAGAGAGGGCAGGTTCTAGAACATTACATGTCAGGTGCCGTTTTTAACCCCAAGTGCCATTTTGGTATAAGCTACTGAGACACTAGTCAAAGAGCAGGAGTCAGACAGTAACCTCAGCTGTACAGCTTCCCTTGTCCTTGCTACGAAACCACAGGAGTCCTCTCCTTGGTCCACCCATCAGCTTCTTTGCACAGCCTGCCGCTCCATTTTAGGGATTTCCAGGCTCATAGTTCTGTGGATTCTTTCCCTTTGACACCAAACACTGCCACCACTCCTTTTAGCATATTTTACAATGCTCTCTTCCCAGAAGCTACTCCAGAAATATTAACAAAAATCATTACTGTTACTCTACTGAATCAAAGAGCCTATGTGTTCCTTGCTGAGCACTTGTTACAATTTGACTTAGGGCAATATTTACTTGACACGAGTGGCTATTCACTTAACACGTGGGCTTTTCACACTAACCACATTTTAAGTAGTGCAAGTGCCAGCATGCACTCATATGTGAATAATTACCGAAGAAATGTTCGCAGTAACAGCACATAAATTCTTTCTTCGTCTTTAGAAGACTTGTGGCAGCTATTCTTGAAAGTAATTTTAGAGACCAGAAATAATATGAAGACACTGAAACCAAATTATTCCTCTACCTAGCAGGAAAGATTTAATTGTACCCTGCAAGTATATTATCTCTTTTTTCAGAGAAATGTTGGGAGATGTAATTGGTGCCTAGTTTATAAGTGAGCTCATAAACAGGGAAGGGAGGAACTCTATTTTTAGGACAGATGATTTAAGACAATGGGCAAACATATAACAATATGCCACGTTTTACTGTATTGTTTTTGAATACAAAATTAAAGTGAATAGCTCTCTAAGAAAAAAATAAAAGTTTTACTTTGGAGAAGAATGGGGAAATCTGATGGCAAATTTTAGAAAGATTTTTTTTTAATTCCAAGAATAAACTAGGTAGAGAAGCTATATATTTGGGGGACTTGTGGAAGGTTTTAGAATATTCCTATTTGAAGGCAGAGAGAGATCTGTTTTTCAGGCTTCTCCTCCAATTTTATATCTTTAAAAAACACTGTGAAAATAGGATAAAATAAGGTTTTTGACCCCTCTGGGCTCACCATCAGGCACTGTGTAAATCTGGCTCATCTTACTAGTGAACATTACCCTACACATTGTACTCTGACCCTACAGATACGTGGCAAAAAACCCACCCTGCCTATTAAAAAGAGTGGGCAAACTGATTTCTGCAGGGAAAGAAATTCAAAACTCTTCATTTCCATGCAAAGGTGAGAAAATTCTCTGGCATCAATTTCCATGTATATCCAATCACAATCGACAGGTACATTTAAGTGAGCCTCAGGTAAATAAGTAAAAGATAAAACTGGAGCCTATTCACATTTCTATCACTATTTCCCAATTACCCCAAAGAAAAACAGGAAGATGCTTCTGTAATGAAATAAAGGAGGAGAGTGTGTTGAAAGGATCGCTTTAATTGATGGAACACTTGTTTGTTCCCTATGAATGGTGCGTTTCTGTGTCAGGTTGCAGTGAAATAAGAAATTGTGATAACAGCTTGTAGGAAAAGGGATAAATCGGAATCTAAGGCAAGTAAAGAACTTCACACTGGAGGCAATCGAAGGGTGACAAGAACAATAAAATACTCTAAACACCTTAATGTCTATAAAACCCACAGATGTGTCTGCCTCCCTCCCTCCCCAATACACCCTTAAGGCAGAGCCCTCTATGAATTTACAATGTTGAATACATGGCTTTAATTCAAGAAAGCTCATGAATAGATAGAGCAGGGTTGGCAGCTGCATCGCCAGTGTTAAGGAAAATGAATAGTATTTCTATCCAACAGCATCTCTCCCTTTATTTTCACACTCTGTTGATGTGTCTTTAATCCTTCAGTGAAAATATCCGGAGAGGAATGCGATAGTGAAAGTTGTTTTCACTTCCGAAAGTGAACGCATCAGTGTGCTCAAAGGTTTTCATTAATGAAATTCTCAAATTTATTTTTTGTACTAGCAACAGATGATGTATTATATCTGTAAATCATAAGCAAAATTAAAACATCTTGAGGATTACAGGATTTAGCTAGGCATCAATTTGAAGAAGAAAAAAAATCTTGAAGGCTTGAACTTCCACATATGTAACCAATTAAGAAAGGATATGTTATGGAAGTTCTCTATGGTTCTCAAGGACAGATTTAGAAATTCACAGAACTTGAAAAGATCTGTGCTGCATTACTGCATAAGGATAAAACGTAGTTTGAGGTTTTGTGGAAATCAATGGACTCTACTCAAAAAGTAAAATACAACACGAGGCTTCAGAATTTGGAAAGCTAGTCAAAAGAAAATTATATTAAAAATAAATGTATATTAATAAAAACTAAAATGCAATACTATTTAATGGTTAATTTGGCAGACCCATTCTCTTGAATACTGACAACAATAACTATTCTACTTTAATTATAAATCAAATGTGAAAATTAGAACAATTCATTTACAGACTCCTTGTTGATATTTAGAAATAAAAATAAAGGTAACAATGGATAAAAATCTAACTTGCTACAACTTGAAGATGTGATTTTATAACTTGTTTTAAACTTCATCCATTCATGATATGAATTTCCAGCATGAGGGAAGTAATTTTGAGACTGATTACTGGGACTGCATCTAGTAAAACACAAATTAAATATAAAGTGCCAAAAAGGAAAAACTGAGAGTCTGTAAAGGAACCCTTGTAGTTTACTGAGAGAAGCTTCAAGATTACCACAGTTTGCTATAAATTTCTGTATTTTGGGGGCCAAGAAGTAACTATGTACCTGTGTTTCTTAATGTCATTGATTCCATTCTTCAGATTTCCCAGCCTTTCTGTTGGATTTTGCCTAAAATAATAATTTTTTAAAAGATGGTTTATAATAATTATGCTAGAATAAGTTTTAAATAAAATTTAACATTTCTTTATTCATTTATTCAACAATATTCATAGACAAAGCATCTGAGGGGGATAAAAAACACACGGCTCCTCTCTAGGGGAGCTACTATTAAATTAGAGTTAGGAATATGTCTACATCTTTATGTATGTATCTATATTTCTATCTATATCTATATATCTCCTAGTACTTTAAATGCACTAGACATGAATACGTAAAAAAACAGGAGGGGGCTATTTTATAAACTCTACCGAGAAAATCAGGGAAAGCTTTAGAGAATCATTTACACCTCAGCTGGAAGCATCAGAAATTCCTGCTGGCAACCCACAGCTAGGTTTCATGTTCTATATTTAGTAAATTTTAATGCTTTAAAAAAAGTTCAAATGTGCAAAAAAACAACAACAAAGCAAAGTTCAAACAAAATTATATAACTCTTCTGTTCTTCAATAAATTATCTTTAGTGGTGAACAGGAACTTAGAGTAACTGAAAATAAGTCCAGGAGCCTGGGCCAAGATGGTGATGCAGGAAGAACCTGAACTCGCCTCTTCCCGTGAACACACCCAATCTACAGCTACACGTGGAACAATTCTCTCTGACAAAGACCTGACAAGGAGCTGAACAGCTCCCTCACAACCAATGGTACAAGGGCCACATGGAGGCAGGTAGGAGAGGGGGAGGCAGTCTCTCCAAAAAATCCAAATCTTCTCCTGAGGAACAAGGGGTTCATGCTCCACATCACTCCAACCCTTGGGACTCTCAATGGAGAGATGAGCACCCAAAATGTCCAGCTCACGTTTAGGAGACTTAAAGGGCTGTAGGGAACTGAGGTACTCTGCTAAGGGCTGACACACACACTCATTTGCCCCAAGGACCAGCACAAAAGGAGTGGTCCGAAAAGCGTGTAGACTGTATGTAAAGGAGATTCATTTGCGAATCTTAAAGTGTCTGCCAGAGAGGCAGGGGCCCGTTGAGACTCTCTCAGGGATGGAGGTGCTGGCAGGTGCCATTTTTGCACTCTCCCTCTACCTGGATAGTGCCAGCAAGCACACCCCACCCCAGAGCTCTCCTGCAGCCTCCCAGAAGCAGTCCCACTCTCCCCTGCTGCCTTTCTAAAGCCAGCACACATGTGCGGTCCACACAGCAGACACGCTAACCAGATGGACTTAATAGATATATACAGAAAACTCCATCCATAAGCAACAGAATACACGTTTTTCTCAAGTGCACATGGAACATTCTACAGGACAGATCATATGTTAGGGCACAAAACAAGTCTCAATAAATTTAGAGAAAATAGAAGTCTTATCAAGTATCTTTTTCAACCACAACAGTATGAAACTAGAAATCAAATACACGAAGAAAACTGGACAAATCATAAATATGTGGAGAGTAAATAACATACTACTGAACAACCAATGAGTCAATGAAGAAATTAAAGTAGAAATCAAAAAATACCTTGAGACTAATGAAAATGGAAATACAACTTACCAAAATCTATAGGATGCAGGAAAATCAGTTCTAAGAAGGAAGATCATAGTGAGATAGGCCTACCTCAAGAAACAAAAAAATCCCAAATAAACAACTTAACTTTACACCTCAAGGAGCTACCAAAAGAAGAACAAAGCTGAAAGTTAGTAGAAGGAAGGAAACAATAAAGACCAGAGGGGAAAAAAAAGAGAAAGAAATAGAGGCTAAAAATACAATAAAAAAGATCAACAAAACTAAGCGCTGGTTCTACAGAAAGATAAAATTGACATATCTTTAGTTAGACTCACCAAGAATAAAAGAAAAAGAACTCAGAAATTAAAGAGAAGCTACAGCCGATACCACAGAAATGCAAAGGATCTTAAGAGACTGCTATGAACAGTTATGCGCCAACAAATTAGATACCTAGAAGAAACAGATAAATTCTTAGAAACGTATACTATTGCAAGACTGAGTCATGAAAAAATAGAAAATCTTAATAAAGATTATTAGTAAGGAGACTGAATCAGTAATCAAAAACCTGCCAATAAGCAAAAGTCCAGGACCAGATGGCTTCAAAGGTGAATTCTACCAAATGTTTAAAAAGAAGGTTTAATTCCTATACCTCTCAAAGTCTTTCAAAAAATTGAAAAGAAGTGAATGCTTCCAAACTCATTTTATGAGGCCCAAACCAGACAAGGACACACATACACAAAAATGCAGGCCAATATCCCTGATGAACATAGATGTAAAAGTCCTCAACAAAATGTTAGCAAACAAAACATACACCATGATCGGGTAGGATTTATTCCAGTGATACAAAGATGGTTCAACATCTGTAAGTCAATCAATGTGAAACATCACAATAATAAAATGAAGAATAAAAATCATATGATTATCTCGACAGATCCCCAAAAAAGCATTTGACAAAATTCAACATCCATTTATAATAAAAACTCTCAAAAGAAGTAGGTATAGAGAGAATGTACCTCAACATAATAAAGACCATATGTGACGAGGCTCCAGCTAACATTATGCTCAATGGTGAAAAGCTTAAAGTTTTTCTCTAAGATCAGGAACAAGACATGGATATCCACTCTCACCACTTTTATTCAAACAGCATTAGAAGTCCTAGTTAGAGCAATTAGGCAAGAAAAAATAGACCTCCACACTGAAAAGGGAGAAGTAAAACCGTCACTATTCGCAGATGACATAATTTTATATAAAGAAAACCCTAACGACTCCATCAAAAAAACTGTTAGAACTAAAAAACAAAGTCAGTAGAGTTGCAGGGTACAAAATTAACATACATAAAGATCAGAGTGGAAATAAAAATATATGTAGAATCTAAAAAGAAAACAAACAAAATTCATAAATTCAGAGAACAAAATAGTGCTGCCAGTATGGAGGGAGAGTGGGGATGTAAAAAAATGGGTAAATGAGGTGGAGAGGTCCAAACTTCCAGTTATAAAATTAATAAGCCATGGTGATGTAACTTACAGCGTGGGAGTCTAGTCAATAATATTGTAGTGAATATTTAAAAGTTGCCGAGAGAAATCTTAAAAGTTCTCATCACAAGAAAAAAAAATTTTTGTAATTGTATGGTGAATTGTAGTGAATATTTAAAAGTTGCCGAGAGAAATCTTAAAAGTTCTCATCACAAGAAAAAAAATTTTTTGTAATTGTATGGTGACAGACAGTAACTAAACTTACTGTGGTAATCATTCTGCAGCATTTACAAATATCAAATCACTGCATTGTACATGTGAAACTAATATAATATTATATATCAATTATACCTCAATAATAATAATAAAAAAATAAAATAAGACAAGTACTTTTTTAAAAATGAAGATTAAAAGAGGGCATATAGTAACACTTTATCATCACCATTGATTTTCTCTCAAAATAAGAAGATTGTAAATTAATTACTCCTTTATTAAGCTAAGGTTTGTGGTTCCATTTTGCTTTATAACAGATAAGGGTGATTCCTGAAGTAATCTGAAATATTTAAATCTCTTTTATAATTAGGTACTATGATTCTGTAACATAAGGTAAACTCCAACTGTCAGCGTAGACTTCAAAACAGAAAATGATTTTCTTTAATTATAATTTAGCTGCAGAGAGAAGTAAAAAAGTAAACATATACCTAATTTAAAATGTGTGGAAATAGAAATAAGAAGCCTTCATTCTTTCCCCAGGAACAAGAGTTTCTAACTGTCATTCTCACCTGCAAAGCCTCCTAATCAAATCCTCAGGTTTTCTTGTTATTTTTCTGGGAAAATCCATTTTTTCAATTCCTTTGAGAATCAAATTGTAGGTCATCATTTGGTCAGTCCCAGAAAAGGGTGGGCTAGAGAAAAGACAAAAGAGGACACTAGGACCAGGGTCCGAGACACATTTAAAAACAAGACCTTCCTCCCTCCCTCCCTCCCTTTTCATTAATTTCACATCACTCAACAAATTATATACACATACAAGTAATTTGTCAGGTGGTGATAATCACTAGAAAGAAAAATAAAGGGGGTGACAGAAAATGACAGAGGTGTGATTTTTTTAGACAGAGTGGGCACCAGAAGCCTCTTCATAAGCTGACAGAGGGTCAGAGGTGTGGCTGAGGGGAAGGGCGAATGAGCCACAGCTTTGGCGGCGGTCCTCGGATTCCCAGGCAGCAAGCGAAGGCCGGGCGCAGGCACGGGCACAGGCCGTCGGTGGAGCAGTGAGGGGGCAGTGCTGCCAGTGGAGCGAGCAGCAGGACTGTCACAATGTTACACAGACGGAGTGGGCTGCGGTGGGGACCTGGGGATGCCTTGTGAGGCAAGGGGTGCAGTTCACAGCAGCAGGGTAGTGGGCGGGCCTAAGCTGTGACGGTGACAGTGGTGGGGGAAGGAGGCCCTGGCACCCGGACTAGGATGGCGGTGGTGAAGGTGGAGACCGACTGGATTCTGATTACTCAGACGGTAAAGCCAACGGGATCTGCTGCCGAGGTGAACGCGGAACATGGCAGAAAGAATTCGAGAGCGCTGAGCGAGCGCTTTCACCTCCGGGATGGCGCTAACATCGACCCAGAGCGAAAAGAAAGC